TCAAGTACAAGTCGAAGTGCTGATAAGAGGTGTCGGAGAATAGGAAAAAGGAATGGCAAGCATGTGGTTGTACTAATAATTTTTGTAAGATTATAGGATTTTTACCACCATCCTATACAGGATGGTTCACATGAAGTGTGACGCAAAAAAAATACCCACAAATTCGCACCAGTCGGTCCAAAAAAGAAATGTATTTTTTTATTCAATAGCCAGAAAAATCTACATAAGAGATTACAAATCGATTCAAAATGGCCACTTTTAGCTTTATTAAAAGCTCTCAATGTCTTGTTAAAATTCTTGCGGATGCGCGCGATCATTTTCGGCGAGATTTCTCGGACAATTTTCAATTCCTCCAGTCTCTTTTGAAGAGTTACTCGGTGTACTTGCTCTCAATGCAGTTTTAGCGTCTTTGAAATCTGGGTAACTGACAAGCCGCGCTTTTGCATAGCGACTATTGTAGAATGATCATCATGTGATACCATTTTTACCTAGAAAAAGAGAAAAAGACTGCCAAAGTAGGACTAAAAGATATGGGAAAAAAGAATAACACCACATCAAAGTAAAAGAAAATGTTCAAAATGCTAGAAAATAGATTTTTCATAGCCCATCACACTTCGTGTGGACCACCCTGTAGTGGCGTTCTAATAGTGTGTACATTTTTCTGAAGTGAGTTCAATGTGGAAGTGAGTTCGTAGGGTGGTTGAGCAATTTATCCTGAAGTAGTCTACTGAGCAGTCATGATAATATGTAAAGGAGATCGTGATTTACGAAATATGATATCTTGATCAGCACATGCAATCCGCGTGTTCCATAGGGACCTCTTCTGCAGTCAACAAAACAGATTCACTAAACAACAGAAATCGAGTTAAATGATGATGAAAGGGAAATTATTTTTTGAAGAAAAAGTAATCATCTGACCTTAGCGGTTCATCTACAATAATCGGCGATTCCTGCACTTGTCGCGCCATTGTTTGGAACAACATCTTCACGTTGTAGCCGGTTCTTGCCGATG